TCAAGTTTAGGTCTGCTTTTTGTGAACTTTATGTGTCTTTGTGGTTTACTTGTTGGGCATTAAAAGCTGGTTCGTCTAAGTTTCCGGTTTTCTCTTTTGATTTTATATTGGAGTGGCCAGATTGCTTTTGTCTTCAGGAGTTCCCACAGAGGCCTAAGTCAGATGAGGATCAGATGTTCTCAGGCTTTCTCCTAAGGTCTGGATCCCTCCAGGAAAGATTTTGGCCTCAGTAGTTTGGGGGTTGGACTGGCCTGGGAGCCGGGCCCAGGAAAGATGCTGGTCTAGGGCAGCTGGTGGCTATGCCACCCAGAGATGCCAAGGAAGATGGGGGCAGGAGGCAGCTCCAAGGGCTCCTGGGGACTGCCCTGAGGAGCTGGTTTGGTCTGGATGCAAAGGATTAGGAAGAGGAAAGGTCAGCCCCAGTGTCCAGGAAAGAGACTGGCAGGTCATGCTGGCCCAGGGAAGTAGAGGGAGGTGAGGGTGGGGCCAGGCCCAGAGGGCTCCTGGAGAGAGAGGCCTGCAGGTGGGAGAGAGCTTATTTCTTATTTTTTGGTCTTTTTGAGACAGGGTCTCCCTATAGCCCCAGCTGTCCTGGAACTCACTATGTAGATCAGGCTGGCCTTGAACTCACAGAGATCTACCTGCCTGTGCCTCCCAAGTGCTGGGACTAAAAGTGTGTGCCACCACACCTGGCTGGATTTTGTTTCTTAATCCATTCACTTGGCCTGTGTCTTTTGACTAGGGAATTCAGTCCATTGATATTTAAGGTTATTATTGAAAGATGTGTATTGGTTTCCATCATTATGATTGTTGTTTGTGTTCTTTGTCTAGTGTTTTCTTGATTATACCTTTATTTATTTTGTTTCATTGCTCCTGGGTTATATAGTTATTTCTCTCTGCTCTCTGTGTTGGTTCAAGTATTCTTTGAAGGGCTGATTTTGTAGACATGTATTCTTTTCAGGCTATTCATGTCATGGAAGATTTTTCTTTCCCCCTCAACTGTAATAGACATTTTTGCTTGGTAAAGTATTCTGGGCTGTCATCTATTGTCTGTAGAACTGGAAATACCTTGGTCCAGGCTCTTCTGGCTTTCATAGTTTGCATTGATAAGTCAGCTGTAATTCTGATGGGCTTTCCTTTGTATGTGACTTGTTTTTCTTTTGCTACTTTCAGTATTCTCTCTTTGTTCTGTACATTTAGTATTTTTACTATGATATGTTGTGTGAGTTTTATTTCTGATCCTGTCTATTTTGTGTTCTATATGCTTTCTCTATTTGTATGGGGATGTCTTTCCTTAATTTTGGGAAATTCTCTTGTACTATCCTGTTTAAGATCTGGTCAATAACATTAACCTGAAATTTTTCTCCTTCCTCTATTCCTATGATCCGTAGATTTGTTTTTTTCATGGTGTCCCACATCTCTTGCATATTCCATTCCTATGTTTTTAAATTTTTTCCATAATCTTTGGTTGAGTGGTCCAATTCTTCAACTTTATCCTCCATTGTTAATATTCTGTTTTCCGTTCCATTCATTCTAGATGTGAGGCTTTTCCCTGTTGTTTCAAGTTGGCTTGTTGAGTTTTTTGCTTCCTTCTTCATTTCTGCCCGAGTTTTCTTCAATGTTTCTATCTCTTTTGTGAATTCATTCAGTTTATCTTTGAGTTCTGTGATTTGTTTGTTTGTGTTTTCTTTAAATTCTTTGAATTCCTTGATCATGCTATGATTGCTCTTTTAAATTCAGTTCTAGGGGGTTCTCCTTGTAGAACTCTTCTACAGGATTGGTGGAGTTTGGTCGGGAAGTAGTGTTTTGGCTTTCCGTTTTATTATTCTTTCATTGTGATTTTGGCATGTGGATTTCTTTTTTTATTTATGATTCTAATATGAGAATTAAGTTGAAGTATGCTTCTGTTTGTATTATTGGTGTGCCTAGATACTTTCTTTATTGGTTATGTAAAGCTGGTTGCTACAGCATTCAGGTTCTCTCAGGTTTAATTTGGGGGAAACTGATGGTTTCAGTTCAGCTATTCAGGAGTACGCACAGAAACACAATTCAGGTTCCGGTCAAGTACACTCAGGCTTCCTTCACCATGTGGAGGCAGGATCTGGGGGCTCTCAGGCAGTCCCCTGCATTCTCAGGCCCTCTGCCAGAGGGCCAGAAGGAGGCCAAAATTCGGCACTCTCTGGTGGTCTGCTGACATTCCAGAGCCGCTACACCAATGGAGGTCAAAACCCACCCTCTTAGGCTGTCTGCTAGGATCTCAGCCTTAGCCTACCAAAGCCAGATCTGCCCAACTCTGAAGTTTTTAGTTACATTGCTTAAAGAATGTGTTGTAATTTACAAGATTTAAAGATTGAGCAGTGTTTAAAAACTTAGTAAAGAATACCAGGTTTTTTACTTACTTTGAAAAATTTCCTTTTGTACATGAAGCTTTTAAAAATATTTTATTATTTTTGTTTATTTATTTTATGTGTATGAGTATATTGCCTGCATGTATGTAAGTGAACCCATGTTGTGCAATGCCAGAGGAGGTCAGAAGAGGGCATCAAATTCCCTGGAACCAGAATTATTAACAGTTGTTAGCCACCAAGTGGATGTTAGGAACCAAACTTGGGTCCTCTGGAAGAGTAACCAGTTCTCTTAACTGCTGACCCATCTCTCCAGTCCCTGTAAATGGAACTTTTAAGGTGTCTTTCTGGAGTGCATTGTTTGGATTTAAGGATGAAAGAAGAGTGCCTATATAGTTAAACTCAAGGCCACAAGTATTCTGGCCCTAATAAGCATGGTCTGTTGTTTTTAACATCTTGGGGAAGACAAGCACTATTTCTGTAGGCGATTTTTGTCATGTCGGTTGTGTTGGGGTTTCTGACTCACTGCCAGATCCTGGAGTGAAGGGCTTCCCTCCCTTCCAGTGTCCCCTTAATTTTTCCTGTCTATCCTCCCTCACTCTCTGCCCCAGATCCTGCTTACAGTAATGTCTAGAACCTGTTGGGTTCCCAGAAGCGGGGAAGGGGTGGGGGTTGCCAGTACCAAGCAGTTCTTAGCTGCCTATACATAGCCATGATCCTCAGTGGCTCTCAGCTGCCTTAGGTGACTTGCAGAAGACATTGTGTCCTGCTCACAGCTGAGAGATGAGCACCTGTAGGCAGGGGACCTGGGTAAAGTATAGAGCTTAGGTGTGTTATGTCATGTAGCAGAACATCTGAGAAGTTCTGTCCTGTCAGCTCTGGGCCTTGGCCTTTAAGTGGAAAGCATATATTATAAATAGACTTTACCAATCCTGTTGACTTCTAACTGTAATTAGGGTTGATGTTTTGAGCATCTAACAGCCTTTCTTCATTATTGTTTTCTTCATTATAGGAAGCCGTCAAGGAACTTGAAAACCTTTTGTCTCAGAAAATCTATTGTCCCGATAGCAGAGGCCGGTGGTGGGATCGACTGGCTCTTAACTTACACCAGCACCTGAAGCGTCTGGAACCGGTAGGTACTTCACAATCTACCTGAGACTATGTAATACTTCTAAGTGTATTTTTAAGAAAATGGCAAGCCTTAAGTACTTTATTTAGGCACTAGGGATGGAACCCAGGGCCTCACACATACTTCGGTCAGCACTCTACCACTGACCTACACTCCCAGCCCATGAAAATACTTTAAAATTCTAAATATAATTAGACCATTTTTATTCCTTTTGTTTAACATTCTTAGATTGAGTTATTCCAACTCCAAATAGTGGGGATGATGCTGTTCTCCCTGACTAGGGAGGGGAAGGGGTTGACAGTGGCCTCTATTGGGATCTGGGAAGTGGAATCTAGAAGAGGAGAATCAGATGGCTCAGCTTTCCATGGGTTCATACCCTCTGATCAGCATTCTCTCTGTCTCTGTCTCTTTCTCTCTCCTCTCTGTCTCTTTCAGATTGACCCCAGGGCCTGTGGTGGAAATGGTGTCTTTATTTACTTGTTGCCACAGCACTTCTATATCCAAAGGCTGATGGAGAGTATCCAAAGGCAGGTGCTTGGAGAGTATCTCTTTGTATTTCTGTATTTTGCCCTGCCTCTGGAACAGGCCACCTTCTCCACCAGCCCCTGGTGTTCCTTGTGCTGGGGATCTTGGGGTCTTGGAAATAGACGATTCTGCCACTGCTGTGGCTTTTTAAGGTGGGGCCTGCCTGCGAGGCCGGGCAACTGCCTCTGAGCGGCTGCAGCAGTGCCTCCTTGTGAGTCTGCCTACTGGTCCCCACCCTGTCAGTCTCCATTCCAGCCCTGTGTTGAGTTGGATGGAGGGGACTGTGCCTCTGGGAAGGTTTGTTTTTCCAGTGGTACAGTAAGTGAATCTGGGCGATGTAGTGGTGGAAAAAGATGCCCATGGAATGTGGAACTATGATGTAGTGTTCTTAAGGCTTTCCACTAAAATAGTACCTTTTTACTGAGGCACCATGAAAAGGTCAGTAGAAACTGTTTCTGTCATGATGACCATGGTGCCTCTTCCTCTTGCTACACTCTGAGGCTGCAATAGCAAGGCAGGACGTGTGGTGACCCAGAACCAGGCATGGAAGGGGGAGAGTGTGTATCCATGCTGTTGTTCTTTCACTGCAGGAAAGATCAGGGATGTTACCTTACAGATCCCCCCTTGTTCTCACATCTGTTCCTACGAGCATTCACTTGTAGACATAAGGGCAGATAGTCCACTGAAATTATTTTTGATCAATGCTGAGAAGGTTCTAGTTCCTGTTAACCTTTTCCCAACATTCTCTGCCCTCCTTATTGTATTACTTCTTTCTACGTGATTAATGTCAGTCTCCAGGACACAAACTGTTAGCAGCCTGCTTCTCCATGTAGAGCGCCAGGTAGCCAGTGCTGGCCCCCAGGACGGAAGTAGAGCCAACCTGGCCATCCAGCCCTGTGCCAGGCCTCTGCCTGGCATCTTCTGCTGAGGCACAGAGCATGCTTCTGTGTCCTTTCCCACTTCTCGATGCCTTTTGGCCCATCAGTTCTTCATGACCAGAGCCTCTGTTCATTTCTTAGTTTCATTTTTTTAAAGTTTTTGTTTTCTAAAATTTTTTATTACATTTATTTATTGTGTGTGTGTGTGCACACACATGCACATGCACACACACACACACACACACACACACACACACACACATGCACGCACATGCCCAGAGGACAACTGTGGGAGTCAGTTGTCTCCTTTGACAGTGTGAGTCCCAGGGATTGAATTCAGGTCATCAGGCTTGGTGGCAAGGGCCTTTACCCACTGAATCATTGCACCGGCCTTAAATTACCCTTTTTCTTTTAACTTTTCTCATGTGATAAAATATATGTAATATGCACATAAAATGTACCACTTACCAAATGTAGTTGTATAATTCAGTGGTGTTAGTTATACCCACAGTGTTGTACTGCCATCTAATTACTCTAGACAGAAAGCCTGCAGTCAATCCCCATGTTCTCCATCCATCTCCAGTAACCCTTAATCTACTTTCTATCCCTAAGAGTGTGTCTGCTCTACTGCTGCATATGAATGGAATCATATTTATCCTTTTGTTTTTTGAACTAATTTCTTTAGACATGGTCTCACCGTGTAGCCCTGGCTGGCCTGGAATACTCTATTGTAGACCAGGTTGGCCTGGAACTCACAGAGAGCCCACCTACCCCTGCCTCAGTGCTAGGACTAAATCATACACCAGCATGCTCTGCTGAACTTAATTTTTAAATCTTTATGTGTGCATGTAATGTGTCTGTGCATCTGTTTGTGTGTATGAGGATGGGTGTGGGTGTGGGAGTGGGAGTGCGGTAGCATGCATATAGAGGTCAGAAGACAGCTACAGGTGCTGGTCCTCACCTTTTGCCTCATCTGAGACAGCTATCAAGCTTCTAGGATTCTCCTGTCTCTGCTTCCTGCCTTCTGTAGGTGCTACTGTGCCCTGCTTTTTGTGTCTTCTGAGGATCCCAACTCAAGTCTTTACACTTGCACAGTAAGCCTTCAAACCCCTGAGCCATCTCCCCAGCCTCTTTTTGATTGATACTAAGAAAGTTCTGGTTCCTTTTAATCTCTTCCTGGCAGTCTCACTGGCCTTTCTCATAGCCCAGTTTCCTGGCTTGTTTCACTTAGCGTTTGTTTCCAAGTTCCACCCATAGTCTAGCATGTCAGAGCTTCAGGGTTTTTTAAAGGATGAATAGTATGTGGCATGTGTAGACCAGATTTGATTTATCCAGTCACCTGTAGATGGATGCTCAGCTTGCCTCTACCCCCTGCCTATTGTGACCATTGTTACCATGAACATGGGTATACAAGTCCCTCTTGAGCCCCTATTTTAAATTCTTTTGGGATAGTTCTAGGAGAGGAACGGCTGAGTCATTATTATTTTTATTTTATATGTATGATTGTTTTGCCTGCACGTATGTAAGTGCACTTGTGACATGCAATGCCCTTGGAGGTCAGAAGAGAGCATCAGATCCCCTAGAACTGGAGTTATGGATGCTTGTTAACCACCATGTGGCTGCTAGGAATTGAACTTGGATCCTCTGCAAGAGCAGCCAGTGCTTTTAACTACTGAGCCATCTCTCCAGCCCCTGTTTAGCCTTTTTTTAAAACCAGCAAACTGTTGTTCACAGTGTTTGCTCCATTTTTACATTACCACCAGCAAAAACTGAGGGCTCCAGTTTCTCCACATCCTTACCAATGCTTGTTATTTTTTTTTCACTTTTCCTAGTATATTCATCTTAATAAAATGGTAGCTTCCTGTGTTTTTTAGTATTTCTGTTTACTTGTCTAACTTTGAATAACCTTAGGAAAATATATTAATTTCCTCCAAGCCCTGGGTCATTCATTCTCTCTGTAAGTTAAGTCCTGCCTGTATGTGAGTCACCTGGTTGCTGTGCTGTGCTCACATACCCAGTCCCCACTCTGGAGAGCCCCATTCTAGACGATATGTGGGCTTTGCCTTTCCCAGCTTCCCAGGTAATGCTCTGAGAGCCACTAAGCCAGCATTTCCTCCAAAGTCTCCTTTAGCCTGTTATGCAGGTGTCCATCCCTAAGGCCATGGTCTGTGAGGAGGTGACTGCTGAGATCCTCTTGTTACTGGAGTTGTTAGGATCAGAGCCTGAGCCCTGGCATCCTAACAAGCTAGTATTTGCCATTTGTCTTCACCAAGCAATTACTACAGAGATAATTGATAATGAAAACGTTCTCTACTTTATGTCATATAGCCACATTAGAAGAGAAACAAATAGAGAAGTCCAGTGACAACCCCCTGCATCCATCTTCAGGGTCCTGACATGAGGTTTACATTTAAAAAGAAGGCAAGAGGTATGCATAACCAAGCAGTCCTGGTCATTGTGTGGTCCTGTCCATCACTGACCCATCATTGTTAAAGTTCCAGACTCTCCTGCAAAGTTATCTGACAGGGTGTCAGAGCTGTGTGAAATCTCTTTACAAGAGAAAAGTTCCTCCTCTGGCTGGCATCAGGGCCAGCCTTTGTTTTGTTTTGTTTTTTCCTCTTCCAGTATGAGACTCCTATGGAAATGTCCATTTCTCTGGGTCTACGGTCTCATTATCTGATAGAGAAAGGGAGGGCACAAGTGTCTCTTTCGAATGTCTTCACTCCTACCAGGAGGTTTGAGTGTTAGAGCAAGTGTAGTTAAAGCCATCAGAATGAGATCTAAGAAAATGGCTTACATTTCTCTGAGCACTGTTTTCTCATTTGCTAATTAGGAAGTGGAATAATTAGGCATTAGTTTCCTGTCAAAATAAATTAAGGGATGCTGCCATTGGGTCTTCTGGGATCCTAATATGTGGCATGTTATTTGCTAGGCTATTCGGTGCATCAACGAAGGACTGGCAGATCCAGAAGTGAGGACAGGACACCGACTTTCACTTTATCAGAGAGCTGTGCGTCTGCGAGAGTCTCCAAGCTGCAAAAAATACAAACACCTCTTCTGTCAGCTGCCAGAAATTGCTGTGGAGGATGTTAAACACGTAAGTGTCCTTTGGGCGCTTTTGTGTTTGTTTTTGGTGGGACTGAACCCAGGCCTCATACACATAGACTGTAACCCCAGCCCTCTTTTAAGATTTAAACATTTCCTTCATTCTCCTGACTGTGCTGTGGTGTGCTTCACCAGAGAAGACCACTCAGACAAAGTTTTGCCAAATCAAAGTCTTGCTTGCTGGCCAGGGCTACACAAGGGTGTCGGAACCCCAGTGTGTAGCCCCGAGCCATCTCTAGGGTAAGCTTTTATACAGAGAAACCATAACCAGGGGTGAAAAGTTTAAGTTCCCAAGTTACAGGTGCAAAGCCCCCTAACAATTTCTGTTCTATTAAGTAACAATTACTATTTTGCAGAAGCAAGCCAAGCATAACCTACAGAAGCCATAAATCTGCAGTTAGCAGGTGTGCTCCAGGACATGTTGACCTATTCCCAAGACAACCGGGGTCCAGCTGACATGTGTTCCCATACCCTTGGCCAACTGCCTGATAATTTCAGAGACTAGAATCAGCCTAAACTTCAACATGGTGTAGCTATGGTCAAGAAGGTCCCTATGACAGCTGGAAGGCACCTGAGCATAGTTTTAGTATGTATTTTCTCTTGGACTTGGAATAGTCTAATGCTCATTTGGTACTGTCACCTTGCATCTGTGCCGTTGTAGCGGCCTCTTTCTCCTCTGATACTTCTGGGCCAGCTCATAGGGTCACACCTGGGTTGGGTGACACAAGTGGTGAAAACTCGCAGCATTTTACCACTTTTTCCTGCTCCTCAGGGGGCCTGTTGGATGCTCTCCAAAGACTAAGACAGTGAACTGTCACATCCTCTGGGTTAGGCCAGTGTGGGTCACACCATGCATTCTGCTAAGTGCCTGGCTTTTGGGGGGTAGGAAGGTTTATCCTCAGGACTGACCAATTCTTTTTTGTTATTGTCCCAGGTGACCATTACAGGCAGGCTGTGCCCACAGCGTGGGATGGGCAAGTCTGTGTTTGTTGTGGAGGCTGGAGACACCACCAACCCTACCACAATCCTGTGCTCTGTGGAGGAGCTGGCACTGGACTATTACAGGCGGAGCGGTTTTGACCAAGGTAAACTTAGCACTGTTTCTTTAATCCCAGCTAGTCAGTATGTGAATGAAGAGCATTGCACGGTGCTTCGTCCATAGTGGGCTGCTCTTGTCTCTGTTTTCAGTAGAAGCTACTGCTGACCAGAGGTGTGTGAAAAAGAATTCTCTTGTTTTTCAGAGGGTCCTCTTGACTTTCATCCAACCTCTTGGTAGAGCTGAGGGCTAGTGTATCTCCGGGGTGAACAGACCAGTGAGGTCATGACTATGAGGAGTTTCAAGGACTCAGCCCTTCTGGCAGCTATAGCCAGTACACCAGAGAAGGTGCTAGAAAGAACCGTGATTTGAATTCCTTTTGAAATGAGCTCTCCGTCTTCCTTTCCAGTGACTGGTGGCTTCCCACTCCCCCGAACCCTCTGTCTTTGTGAGCAGCACATATCAGGAGGCAGAAAGCCCTCCAAGTAACTCAGTGACTCCATTGATGGGCATGAAGTCAGTTAGAGGAAGCGGCACTGCTTCCCACCGAGCCCATCTTTTACCTTTCAAATTCTTCAGTTTCTGTTTCATTGTTGGGTGATGAAGGCATGCTTACACTTGTCAGGTGTGTGCAAGTGCGTGGTGCAGGAGAAGTGGTTTGGCACTCCTGGGCCTCAATATCATCCTGTTCCTTGAGCTGCTGGTAAGGTACCTTTGTTTCTCTCAACTAGAAGTGCAGTGGAACCAGGTCAAGGTTGCCTCCTTCTGGCCTTCTTGGCAGCTATCACAGGGTAGAAAAGAGGACTATGGAAGGGCCCCGCTCTCCATTCCTGGGATGTAAATGTATAAGAGTAAGAAACTACTGTGGGATGCTGACCCATGTAGAATCTGAGAGATTGTAAATGCCCACTGGCCAGGACAGGGATGCTGCACACCTGGTGTGATAAGCCTAGACCCTGTGTCCTCCCATATTTCCTCTCAGAATCTGTTGTCCCCCTGCCTCCTCACTGCACAGTGGGGGAGCTGCCCTGGAGTCACCCCTCCTCTGCTCCACAGACTGGGGTGCTTCAGATTGTGACACACAGTCCCAGAGGATAGGTCTGCCCCTCAGGGACACTTGATGCTGGTAAGTGTATGTGTATACCAAACAGAGTGCATGTTCAATGTGCACATTTGACTGATAGGTTTCATGTATGGGAGCTGGGATTGGCCATTTGAGAAAAACACACCTGAGTCTAAAACACACTGGCTCCTCCTTGATATTCCTAACATGGTTGTTCCAGAGCCTTCTGTGCCAGACAGTCAAGTGGTTGGGGGTTAGCTCTCCTATAGAACTCTTTTAGCGTGTGCACAGACATGGTATAGGAGACCCTGAGGAGCCCAGTGGCTACCATGATGCCTCCCAGGAGTGGAGCAGTGAGACCACATGTGTTGTGTGTTGCAGCTGTACCTTGCATGTGCACAGGGGTGAATGCTTGTGGAGTGACTCAAAATGTGAGCTGCTCTGGCATGTCTCTTGTCATTGTGGTAGCCCTGTTACATAACAGAAAAGAGTTTAGTTTGGCTATTTTTTTTTAATCTTTTTGAGGCAGGGTCTCCCTGTAGCCCCAGCTGTCCTGGAACTCACTATGTAGACCAGGCTGGCCTCGAACTCACAGAGATCCACCTGCCTCTGCCTCCTGAGTGCTGGGATTAAAGGCATGTGCCACCACGCCTGGCTTTGGTTTGGCTTTTTAACAGAATAGACTCCTCATTTATGTTCTGTGGGTTTGTGTAATTACCAACACCAGTCTCTCTTTCCTTTTATTCTTCTTCACTTTTTGGGGATTTATTTTTATGTTTATGTGTGTGAGTGTTTTGCCTGCATGCATGTAAGTGCATCCAGGCATGTAATGTCCATGGAGGCCAGAAGAGGGAGTTTGATCCCCTGGAACTGGAGTTATAGATGGTTATTAGCTGCTATATGGGTACTGAGAACCAAACCCAGGTTCTCTGCAAGAGCAGCCAGTGCTCTTAACCATTGAGCCATCTCTCCAGGCCCTCTTCTTCACTTTTGGTCTCCGTGAATAAACTGTTAAGTCCAATGCTTCAGCTAAGGCCCAGGGTGAAGCATAGACATGAGCCCTTGTCTTATAGTTGGTAAAATCAAATGACTAGACCAGGCCTTAGTACTATCTAGTGCCAGGTAGGGAAACAGGTAAATTCTGGAGGAAGAACTGCCGAGCACGCTCCCTGTCTGGTATCAAAAAGCAAGGAACATGGAGGGGCTGGACTTCCTCAATGACCTGGCTCTAACTTGTATTTTCTTTTTATGAGATTCTTTGTCATGGAAGATACTGACCCTGATATTATATGAAAGTGGAAAAGATTGTTGTGTAGGCCCACAACCCGCCCAGCTCCTTCCATCTTCCTCCCTACCCCCACCCTTCTCTTGGATAGTGGATGTAGGTCTCAGTATCCTCCCATGACACTTGCTGTGCAGCTCTCATGAGTCTCTCTTGGACACCCATCGAGTGCTGGCCACGTGTTGTGTAGGTTCCCCCGTGCCCGTGCTGTAGGGATACTGTAGACTTATTAGTGTTAAAATGACCCAGTATTGTCATACAAGTGGCATAATGTGAGGTTCCTAGTTAACCAGGGCTGTAAGGATTTTGCAGAATCTAGTTTCTTCCTGCTGAGTGTTCGGGTTAATCTATACCATGTCTGTATTGCTCACAGGAAGGGTGATGCTGTGTGGGTAGGAAGTCCAAACACCAGTGAAGACAGAGAGGTAGGGTACATCTGAAGAGGCAGAAATACAAGAAAAAAATAGAGATTCCAGATTCCTTGTCCCTTTAATCACTGGAGGAGGGGCAGCTAGGAAAGGAATACACCAAAATGCTCCCTGGAGCCTGAAAAACAGTCAGGGAACTTTGTCCAGAGCACTAAATATGTTCATATAAAATATTTTAAATTTATATTCTATTCTAATATATGAGAAAATTGATATAGTGATATTGAGCCGAATGCTTGCTGTCAGGCTTAACTCTGGAGGAGATTGTGTGCAGGGGCAATTTCAAACCTCTTCAGGAAAGCTATTTCTGAATTAGGCAGAAGGAGCACACCAAAAATGACTTGAGTTAGACTCCAGTGCATGGTGTGGCTCACAGGACGGCAGGAAGGGCTCTAACGTCCATGTCCCTGACTCGGCAGCTTTTACACAGAGTCTGGAAACCGGAAGTCAAGGCCCAGCTTTCTTCCTGGCTTGCCAGAGCCCAGGATCCTGACTTGGAAACTTCCTGGTAGTTGGAGGACTTGCTTCAGTTGGGGTGGGGTCTTGAAGCTGTCCTTTTGCATCATGGGGACAGGCTAGAGGGACCAAGGACCAGAACCAAAAGAGCTCATCACAGTTCAGGAATGCAAGATAGAGGAACACAGCCACATGCTGCTGCTACTGCCTGGGACTTGTTCATCCCTGCACTTGCACGGAGCCACTATGAGCAGGAAGCTGCACGTGCTGGACTCCTGTGCACACCAGTCATACTGCTGGCCCTCTGCTTTCTGCCATGTGCTCCCTGTGGCTCACACAGGTTCATAAGGGACCAGCCAGCCAGAGGAGCTTTTCTGTAGTATGGACATGGCAGAAGGAAGGAAGGTGGAGAGGTGTCCATGTGGCTACCTTTCTTTGTGGGGGTTGCTGGGGTGAAGAGACACCCAGCTTGGAGAAGAAGTTGGGTGAGTCAGGACTCTGGGACACACAGCACAGGTTGGGGGGGGGCAAGATCTTTGTTCCTCTCCAGGCTCTGTCCCTGACTTTCAGTGACCGTAGCACTCAATTCCTTTCTGAGGCTATCTTCTAATGAGTTGTGTTTAGTATGAGGAGGGCATTGAGGGACGTGGTCTTTATAGCCAGAAGTTTTTGTAGAAGCCTTCACTATTGGGAACACTGAGATAGCCTCATTCAGGTCAAAGTAGCGTGTGAATGATGAACCTGGTGAGTGGAGACTGCGTGGTCATTCTTGTAGGTTGTCACAAACCCTGCACCAGAGCCTGCCTGTGGATTTTGTACCCAGCTATGGGGCGCGCGGTCCCGCGGGGATCGGTCCCCTGGTCTCAGTCGCGCGCCCTGGAAGTGCAGCGGGGGCATCTGTCTCTGGCCGCACGTCGCTGTCCGCCGCTTTAGTGCTGAAAGTCTCGCAGCACCGCGGCTCCGCATCTGTTGTGGCAGCGGGTCTCTCTGCTGCTTCTCCGTGTCTCTGTGGGTCTCTGCTACCGGAGCGTGTCCAGTCGGGTACCGCCCTAATTTTCCCCCGTGCACTTTCCTCAATATGCGAGTTCCACCGGCTGCTGGATCACGCGGGAATAGTGCAAGGCGGCTAAAGCTAGGGCTCCGTGAGTTGATGACGGAAGAATGCTGCCCCCCGGAGAGGCTGGATCGCTGGCAGTGAGAGAGAGAGACGGGACTCAGCTTAGTCCATGTTATAGCTCTTTATTAAATGACTCTGCTTGGCTCCAGGTCTCAGTGTTTCAGCTCCTAGCTCCTAGTGATCCAGCTATCTATTATTGAGAGAAGACTGGGATATTTTATACTGTAGGGGCAGTGGTAAAAGCTATAGCTGACAGGCACTTTGTGAGATATCATATTCACATATGGAAGTGGGCTCCTGCCATGCTTCCAGACTGCCAGACTGCCTGAAAAATCACACAGGAAAGCATGGTATTTCCAGAGCCAGAGGCCATGTTTATGTTGGGGCATTGGCGGGCACTTCAAAAGCTGAGTCAGGAGGATGCTAGGAAAAGCACTCTATTTTTAAAAGGAGTCCCTGCATTTACGCTGAGCCCATGGGCTATCCGGTCATGGAGGAACTTCTACTTCACACAACAGGGGTCCCCAACAGTATGGTGGTGAAAAGACAGTGTAAATATGTGAGAGAAATTATAGGGCTTATTTATAATCCGTTGTGAAGGAAAGAGATGGTTTAGAAAAATATTGGAATGGAGAAAGTGAGGCTTGGAGAACTGTTGGCAGCAAGGAGAACTAGACAGAACAGCAAAGCAGGTATTGAAGGA